GGCGAAAAAGGCGCAGGTCCGCAACTGTACGTAGGTCGGGGGGTAGGTCATTCCAGAGGGCAGGAGCTGCCACAGAGAAGGCTCTCCCCCTGGGGGTCGCCAGCCGGCATTGTCTGGCCGACGGCACCCTAAGGAGGCCCTCTCTGTGGGAGCGGACTGGTCGAAGGGAGGTGTTTGGTAGGAGGCGGTCTTGCAAATATATTTTCTCAAAACTGCTGGGAAAAAACAGGTCGACTTAATAGCGGATTGAACTGTGCAAATGTATGCATGTTACTGTGTCCAACACTTTCAGAGTGAAAACAGATTGTGCCAGAGCCAAACTGATATGATGCTTAAAGGAATTCTGAAGAGAATGCCTCAAGGGCCTATTAAAGCTTTTTGCAGAGCACAAAAAAAATAACAAATAGATACACTAGGAAAAGCAATTAGACATTTATTTTTTTATTAATTTGTTTGACAATATTTCCAATCCACTCCAATACAAAATGATCCAGGATCCTGAAATAATACTGTCTAGGGAAGGGGTGTAGGGAGACAGGAAAAAAAACAAACAACTAGGGCAGAATGGAGGTTTCCATCTTCCAAATTCTACTGATCCAGAGTTCCCAAAAGGTTTTATCTCTGTCTATGCTGGCTGGGACTGATGGGAGTTGAAGTCCAATATATTGGATGGCACCCTTGCGTTTTCCATGGGAAAAAAACAAGGCTCCCCTTAGGGGCATGAATTATTCATTGCCTTCCCCCAATGTTCAGGTTTTACATATAGGTCAGACCCTTCATATTTTCTTTTCACATCTGCAGCCAGGATTTTATTCCTTATTTACACTGTGCAGAAGGAGAGGTTGATGGACGTGAACATCAACTGAAGCACTGTGGAATTATGTTGACGTCATGGATATTGCACACGTGTACAAACCTGCTTTCCTTTGCACGATTTGAAAAGAAGGAGTGAAACACAGGTCGTCCTTGACCACAACTTCGACCACAATTTCTGTTGCTAAGCCAGGTGGTTGTTTTTATTGATTTTATGACTTTTTTTTTGCTCTTAAGTAAATCGCTGCAGTAAAATGGGCATTGCAAAGCAGAAAAATGGCCGCCGCCACGCCACTGGGCGCAGAAACAAGGCACTGCGCCACGCAAGAATGTGGCAGGGCTAGTGAGTATCATGTGGGCACTAGCCCCGCCATGATTGCAGCATGCATGTGCTTGCAGCCCCGTGCACACGCACATGCACACATGTAAAATACTTTCCCCTCCCTTTTCCTCCGGTTCGCCAACCGATCAAGGTTGGTGACCTCTGTTCTAAAGTATAGGAAATCAAATCACATTACCCTGTGAGAAAATCAAACAAACAGCTTCCAATTATAGTGATGTTTACAGACAATGCTAGAAACAAACCAATTATACAGAACCTCCAGATCTATTGAGTTTAACTCTGGGACAGACAATTTAAGGTCTTCCCAATTGGACTAGAGATCCTAATGTTTTGCTGTTGGTCATAATGGTTGTGTTTAGTGAGGGCTGAAACAAGCACTCCAATGCTTAGCAGAATCTGTTTTTACCTTTTACTGCTTAAGCTATTGACCAATTATTGAAAAACAACACTAAACATTGGCTGAGAAAGACAATACTGTAAACGCTAACCGATTTTCAATCGACATTAAGTCCCCTCTTGTAATTTGTTCATCTCTTCCAAAAATCCAGTTCTAGCACTCATTTGTTTGAAAGAAGAGATTCTTCATTTAGAAGTATGTTCCCCTTGAATTCAGTGCAAATAGTGCATCTTTCCCATATCAAATATAAAAAACAATTCTGCTTTCTCTGCTTCATTTACAAGCTCACTGTGACTTTTGTGAAATCAGTACTACAAACTGAAGGAAAGCTAAGCATCTAGAAACAGGATAACCCAGGATTTTTCCCCCCTCCGCTGCAACTATTAGTCACTAGGAATAATCCATTATGTTTATGAACTCTGGAGTTG